GGGCTAGGGCAGGTTTTCATGACCTTCCCCATCAGAGTATGTTGTCCCTCTCTCCCCTTCTTGAGGCACCTGAAGAGATTTGGATTACACTTTTGCGCCAGCAGCAGCCTTATCCTGCCAACCCAAATCTAATCCCGTGCCACAGAATCAGCAGAATCTAAAACCTCTCCTGTTTTAGAAATAGGAACCAAGCTGTCCTGTCTTTAGAGGGAGGGAGGGAGGGAGGGAGGGAGAGAGAGAGAGAGAGAGAGTGGGAGAGAGGGGGGGGGGGGGAGAGAGAGAGAGAGAGAGAGGGAGAGAGGGAGAGAGAGAGAGAGAGAGGAAAGTCCCTTCTCTCTCTTCTCCCTGTGAGAGGAAGGAACTGAGCGACATTCTTCCTTCTTTCCTCCCTCCTTGAAAACTTTGCCCTGCGCTCAAGGTTGTCCTTCAAGACCAAACGACAAGCACACTTTCTGTTTTGCTTACTGGATTTCTTGTTGTCATTTTGGGAGCCTGGCGACTAAAAAAAAAAAAGGGGGGGAGAAATATACACCCCTGAGACAAGCTTGATATTCAGAAGCAGCTTTGTAGGTTAACCAACAAAAAACTGGACCCGGTTTTCTGCAGACCCTCTCGGCTCTTTCTTTGCATGATACCAGAGGAAACCTTGGCATAGTTACCACTGTCTTTATGCAAAGTGAATCTTTGCAAAGGCTGGGCTTAAGGCAGAAGCAGAGGTTCATTTCTCTGCTTGTTCATCCTGGTGGGGAGGGCGAGGGAGGGGTGGGGGGAGAAACAGGAAAACCCAGAGCAAGCAGCAACCGCTAAGCAAAAAACAGTGCAATTTTGGAAAAAAGTGTAACCTTAAGAAGGAGGGAAGGAGGAAGGGGAAGATACTAAGGAGGGAGAAAGTCCTACTATCTTTATAGGAGACAATCATATTCTGATAGGCCAATGGAAGGCAGTTTACCCATTGATTACATATTAACCTGTCTGGAGAAGGCTGAAAGGCAGCTATGCCTGAATTATTGGAAGGTCAAATTCTAAAGGACATGTCTATTATTACCTAGCAGGAAGAATGAAGTCCTCTCCACTTCTTCGGCCCCTTTCTTGCTTCCCAATCTCATCAACAGGGAGTATAGAGCTAAAAGAAAGCTAGCTGCTGGGGTTTTATTTTTTTTTTTTTTTTCTCCAGCTTGGTTGACTGCAACCCAAGTTTTCTGTGCAGGCAGAGCTAAAGCCAAAGCAAAAATAATGAGAAATGAGATGCATTTGTGCGCTTTGCCCCCCAGACGAGGGGGGCGTTCCTTTGTTTTGAATGACCTTTGACCTTGCGGCTTTGACAGCCTTTAAGAGCAGCATCTTGGAACCTCTAGAAATTGAGCTGTCAATTTAAAACAAGGCCTGGGTTTTATTTTATTTTATTTTATTTTATTTTGGGGGTGGGGAGGGGAGATGACCTACCTGCTTTTCACTAGTAGGATGCTTAAAGACCTAAAACTACACCCCTTAGAAGAAATTTCTCCCTCCTCTTTCTCTTCTCCCCCCACCCCCCCATCCTGCTTTCTTTTGGGATCTAGAAAGGGAATTCACTTCTCTCCCTGTATAAAATTGTATTATAGTCACGTTATAAAAACATGGTTGTTTTAATCATTTCATAGATTAAAACAAAATTACAAAAAACAAAGGAAGGAGACAAGAGTCCCAATCTGTTCGTCTTCTGCTTGAAAATAAGATTTTGTGTGTTTTTTTTTTAAAAAATATATACACGCACTGCTTTTTTTTAAATAAAAAAAAATCTCCTTTCCTCTGAGAAAAAAAAAATAGATGGGACAATCTGACTAGCAGAGTGTCCATACATAAATGAGATTAATATTTTCTTTTTTGTAAAAAAAAAAAGAAAAAAAAGGAACTGAAACAACTAAAGCTAAAATTAAGAAAGGTCACCCGTGCCAGCCTGATAGAATTTTTGACTTTTAAACAGCCAACCTTCACAGGCCTTACCTTGCTGCAAGTTAGGGATTTCAGGGAGGAGAACAGTAACCTGTTTCAAAGGGGGCTTGCTGTGTGTGTGTGTGTGTGTGTGTGTGTGTGTGTGTGTTGTGTGTGTAATTATGCAAGGGAAATTGTGATTCTCTATTTACAAATTTGAGAGTCACTGAATTTGTCTCATGATTATTTGAATGTTAGTTACAGCTTTAATCAGCTGTCCCTGTAGCTTCAATCTAAAACAAATCAATTATAGTAGTAACTCTTAGGATATGCCTAGATATTTGACATAATGTCCTTGGCTGCAAATTTTTTTATTTCTCCAAAAACCAGCTGAACTAATTTGTGGAAGTGAGGGGCCTTGTTTTGTTTGAATGAGATTATTATTATTATTATTATTATTATTATTATTATTATTATTATTATTATTATTATTATTACTATTACTATTACTATTAACATAATAATTAGCAATAGGGCCCTTTTAAAATAATTATAAAACTTGGAAGAGTTAACACTCTCTTTCCTTTTCATCTGCCTGCAAGAAAATGAAAAGTTTTTTTAGAGAGCAGTTATATTTTATCTTGTCAATTCTCAGCTCATACACATATTTAAGTTATCTGCTCAGATTAACTTATCTAAATATCTGTCCCCCCCATACTATGATTAAATAGATACTTGAAAGCTATAAACTAATGAAACTCAGTACAGAATCAAAAATGCAGTTTATTATAGTAGAATATTCCTCCTTTTTGATATAACCATAGAGTTGAAAAATGAAAGGAAAACACATAAGGAACATCACACATGATTAGTTGGTAACTTAAGATATAAAACAATTTTGCACAGCAAAATACGTCAAGGGGAAAAATAACTGACAAGATTTTTTTATATTTATTGTGGTATTTACTTTTCCATTTTTTAAAAAGACAGGAGTCTGACAATAAAATTTGCTGATTAATGCCTTTAAAACTTTGTGAATTTGTGAAGTTACAGAAAATCCAGTTCTGCACCACAATACAACTGTAAAAAAATCTGCATTATTTAAAAAAAATGAGCAGTAATGCCATCTTTGTAAATGGTATTAGCATCCTAGACAAGTTTGCAATGGTTTATATGTTGCTTCAGGTTATATCTTAGTGCAATTCAGTCCCTAATATTTAACACCCCCCAGAAACCCCACTGTTACATTTTGAACACAAAATAACCCTATTAATATAAACAGGGATATTCCCCTTTTAATACTTTGGTTTCCAAATACAGTTGGTGGCATAGCAAGATCTATACATACCCAACTTATAGTTAAGTTGCAATCACATGCTGCATAAGCTACTTTTTTTAAAAAAAGCCCCACTTTATATTCTACTCCTTTTAACATCACAACAGTGAACAATTTAGTGCACCATTTTAAAAAAAGAGAGACCTACTTCTAAACAGACCTAACTTTTTTCAAATTATCTATAACATTCCTTTATCTGTTCCGTACATTTGAACTGAACTAACAGACAATAAAAGCTTGAATTAAATTATATACCAGGATCCCATAGCATTGCACTTTTGACAATGACCAAATGCAAAAAGGAACAAAAAAAAAGGGAGGGGGGAAGAAGGTAGATCATTCCAAAATAAATTTTAGACTGCTTTAAGCAACAATATCATGTAAAATCCAACAAATTGCAGCAATTTTTTTTAAGCATAAGTTTTAAAACTTCTTTCCAAAGTTCTTGTTTTCTTGTAATACTGTAATCACAATCCACTCTGCTGTTTTTGTTTTACATAGGAGAGAGAACGAGAAGAGTAGTTTTTTTCCCCAATTCATTAAAAAGAAGTCTGAAGTTTGAGAGGGGGGCCACTCAAAGCAGTTTCCAGAACAGATGCAAACTTGAATGGGTAAGGAAGACTCAAAAAAAGTTGCACTTTTTTGCTTTCAGTTCAAAAAAGTGGTGAAGAAATACAACTTAAAGAATGAATGACATGCCATTATATATATCTCCAAAGTCCATATCCAAGCAAAAGGAAAAAAAAAAATCCGTACATGTCCAGCATGCAGGGCATTTATCAATATAATGTCTTTTTTTTTCTTTTCTCCCCCATAGTCTTTTGAAATATTTATACAGTTAATTGATGCAAGACAAACTAGTAAGCGTAATAATGCATGAGATGAGGATGGGTTACTAAAAGCAGACTCAGTTCACTGTTTGGCAGCTTAAGGGCCAAAGATCACATCATGAACACATAAGAAGTTGACCAAGGCTCCATTTGGGCAGGTTGATATTCTCTAGGTTTAGTTCAATCACAGATGAAAATTCGGCAATCTGAAGTCTAAAACTTTCTTTAAATATTTCAGTAAAATGTCCTCGAAATATGCCTGCATTCACTGGTAACTATGAACACAGACATATCAATCTATCTATATCTAAAGTTCATACCCCAAGGGAAGCATTCAGGGTGGCAAAAATTTGGTGTTTTGTATTTGGGATGGAGCAGGTATTTTTTTTTAAAAAAAGTTTGAGCAAACTTCAGATGAGTTGATGGAAGTTGGATTGCAGGCACACTCACACACACGCTGACACACACAAGCTAAGGGCTGGAGAGGGAGAGAAAGGTCTGGACCTTGTAAGGTTGGCCAACTGAGACAGCCCACCTTCAAAAGTACCACCAAAAGTCGCCTTTATTCTTTTAAAACAGAATATACCTGTATGTACAAGCTAATGGTGGCGTGTACATAGCATGTATCATTGAGATGGCCCAAGTTAACAATAATTAACACGGGGACCAATTGGTTGACCTTTCCAACCCCTCCTCCCTCCTCCAACCTTAGGAACTTTGGCGCAGGTGCTTGCTCGTGTGTGTGCGCGCGCGCGCGTGTGTGTGCGTGTGTGTGTGTGTGTGTGTGTGTGTGTGTGTGCTCTGAAGAGTGGCAAGAGGCTTGCCAGAGCGAAAGGGGGTTGGCGGCGGGGGCTGAATCGCGGGATGGGTACAGGTTGGTGGGACAGGTGGAGGGTGGGTGGGAGAGGAAGACCACAACTCACATGAAAAATTCTGGAGAAGAGGGATTGTCGCTGCTGGATCCGTTTTCCCGGAACCCGCTGCTGACCAATTTCTCGTATTTTTCCTTGTAGGCGTCCCTCTCCCGGACCAGCCTGGAGATTTCCTGCTTCAGATGTTCCACTTGTTGGAGCAACTGGTTCTTCTCGGATTCCAAGACGTGCCGTTGCTGGACGCGCTTGAAGCGGCAGGACTGCGCGTAGCCTCGGTTTTTCAGGGTCCGTCGTTTCTGTTTCAGCCGGATCACCTCTTCCTTGCTGACGCCCCGCAGCTGCCGGTTGAGTTCTCGCACCGACATGGTCACCAGCTGCTCGTCCGAGAAGCGGTCGTCGAAATGCAAGCCGCCGCCGCCGCCGCCGTGGTGCGGGTGGTGGTGGAGGCCTCCCCCGCCGACGCTGCTACTGCTGCTGCTGCTGGTGCTGCTGGCCGAAGACGGCACGCTGCCCGGCGGCGGCGGTTGCTGCTGCTGCTGCTGCGGATGATGGTGGTGGTGGTGGCCGGCCGGGTGGTGGTGGTGGTGGTGGTGGTAGTGGGGCGCGCCGCCGCCGTTCTGCTGCTGCTGCTGTTGCGCCGCGGCGGCCGCGATCACCGCCGACACTACGGCGGCCGCCGAGCCGATCTCGTCCGGAGGCATGGGTCCCCCCGACCCTCCGCCGCCGCCTCCTCCTCCTCCGCCTCCGCCGCCGCCTCCTCCTCCTCCTCCCGCGCCCAGCTGCTGCCCTCTCGCATAGCCTTCGAAGCCGGCCGCCGCGGCCGCCGCGGTCTGGAGCTGGTGGTGGCTGTTGTTGATCAGCGCTTCCACGGCGTCCTCCGGGCTGAACCCCAACGCCTCCGGGTTGAGCTGCTGCGGGTAACCGGTCATCCAGTAGTAGTCTTCCAAGTGAGTCTTTTGGTCGCTGCCGCTGCCGGAGCCCGGGCTGGGGGCCGAGAAGCTGGGCGAAGGAGGCACCGAGCTGCACGGCGTGCTCATCGGGGTGGACGAGAGCGATCCCCCAGCGATCAAGCGGCCGCACTGGCTGATAATGCGGTCCGTCTCCACCGGCTCCTTTTTCACTTCAAACTTCATCAGATCGAAGTCATTAACATATTCCATGGCCAAGGGACTAGTGGGCAGGTCGGCGCTGTGCAGGGCCAGGTCCGATGCCATCCTTTTGCCACCGCCGCCGCCGCCGCCGCCGCCCGTCCTCCAGAAAGGGTGCGCTCCCGGAGCCAGGGGGCTGCCCTGACTTGCCAGCGGATGAGCCAGTTTGCTGGTCGCCGCGCGGAAGCCTCGGGAAGCTGCTTGGCCGGAGCTGCGCTCTGCTCTCTCGCCGCCGCCGCCTCCTCCTCCTCCGCCGCCTCCTCCTCCTGCTGCTCCGCTCACTCCTCGCTCGCTCTGCCGGCGCCGGGGCGAGCCGGGATCAGCCAACAGCAGCAGCAGCAGCAGCAGCAACGCCTCGCACCCGGGCTCGGAGGCTCCACTTGACAAAGAGTCCGCTCGGCTTTGCAAGCCGGCAACCCGCGAGCGGCCGCTGCCTCGCTGCCTCCTCCTCGCTCGTGCTATTTGCTCGCCTTTTGCATCCGGCCGCCTCGGTTTCTTTCGTTTTTCTTTCTCTCTTTTCCCCCTCCTCTCCTCCCCTCCTCTCTCTCTCTCCCCTCCCCTTTCTCCTCTGCGCGCTCGTGGCTCGCCTCTCTTCCCTCTCTCTCTCTCTCTCTCTCTCTGCAGCTTCGCAACGGCAGTTTTTATAGGGAAAGGTTACTTAGCAGTTCCTCGCTGGTTTGAAAAGGATTTGTTTGGATTTCTTGCTGTCTTGTCTGTCTGTCTTTTTTTTTTTTTTTAAACACTTCGTGGTGTTTTTCTCCCCCCCCCCTTTTTTTCTTTCCCCTTTCCGTGGCCGGAGTCCAAACGAAGAGAAAGAGAGAGAGTTTCAGCACCAAGGAAAGAAAATAAAAAAGGCGGAAAAAAAAAGAAAAAAAAAGGACGCGGCTGACGCTTTAAAAAAATAAAAATAAAATAAGAGCAGGTAGGTCGCTAGATCGTCTTTTTAAAAGGAGGGGAAAGCTCGAGGGACTCTCCTTCCCCAAGTTCTGCAAAGGGGAGAAAGAAAGATAAAGAAAATAATAATAATAACAACCCCTCGACTCCCCAGCTTCAACGACAAGATGAAAAAATATTTTAAAAGAGATGAACCGGGAGGACAGTTTAAAAGCATTGCTGAGTTTTATAGCGTGCCTGACGTCACACTCCTGTCGGGATTCGACTCCAATCCGCGGCCGCGAATCCGGCTCCTCATTAGCATAATAGTATAGAAACAAGGAAACTTTTCAAAGCTGTCAATCAGGAGCCAATCAGCTGACTGTCAGCTGGGACCAAAACTTTTTAACTCTTTCTTAACCGAAAGCGCCGTCTCGGACTCATTAGGAAGGGAAGGGGGGAAAAAAAAGAGAGAGAGATGGGGGGAAAGGGGGGGGAGAGAAAAGAGAAGAGAGAGAGATCCCGAAAGCCATTAAACCGGCAAAATACTCCGCTAGTATTCTCAATTGTCCCGAAAGAAAATGCGATAACTAATAGGTAAGGGTGCTCTTTCCTACGTGCGTTTCGGGGTTTTTGTGTGTTTGGAGGCTGGCGTGAATTTGTGTACTCTTGGCGCGTTTGCAAATGTGGAGTACATATATTCGAGTGGGTTAATTCCCGGCTCTCCCTTATCCTTTCCTTCTAAAGTGTGCGAGTCTCGGTGTGTGAGAAAGATGCAGGCAGCGTGGACGAGCGAGTGGCATGCAGATCCTCCAAGACTCGGTCCTAACGTCCTGGAAACGGATCCCAGTCCCCGAGCGCCTTCTTGGTGCGGTGGTCCAGAAGACTGGCGTCCCCACCCGGGATGCCCCCCAAAATAGATCTGCGTTTTGTTCAGCTTTCTCTTTCTGGGGGAAACGGGGGGAAGGAAGGATGCTTCAAACGCCTCTTCGCCTTTTGGGGTCTCTAAAAGGGAGTGAATTCGGAGTCTGTCTGTCTCCGAGCGCAAACACGATCCCGAACCGTTCCTTTTTGCACTCCTCAGCCCTTTGCTTGCCTCGGAGGTTTCCGAGTCCAGGACTTGGTGCCTCCTTGTCAAAGTTAGGTTTTTTTTGTTTTTTTTAGCCCTGCTCTCTCCGCGCGCCTCCGATCGATAGCTCCGCGAGAGGTCAGAAAGTTAAGACAAGTGGCTAATTGCTAGCCACCAATATGCTTTTCTTCCTAGCGCCATCGATTTACTTTTATCTCTGGTCCGTTTAAAGATTATTCCTAGATTTTAAATATAAGTTTTGAGGTGGCTTTTTGTTGGGGCGGGGGGCGGGGGGAGAG